CGTGTTGTTCGCAGTTGGTCGATTAGTTCGTCGGCGCGGGGAATGGGGTACCGCGACTTGACTGTTACCCTGTTGAGCGCTCGGTAATCGATGCACATGCGAAACCCTCCGTCTTTTTTCGGTGTGAACAGTATCGGTGCGGCGAACGGTGACGAACTTGGTCGAATGAACTGCTTTTCTAACAAATAATCTAACTGCTTCCTTAGTTTGTCGAGCTCGGGCTGTGTCAGTCTGAACTGGCGCTGTACAGTTGGCTGTGCCCCCGGTTCTAACTCGATCCTATGATCATGCGCCCGCTGAGGTGGCAGCCCTTCCGGTAAGTCGTCTGGAAAAATCCCCGGGTACCGTTTCAACAGTTCCTGTAGTTCGGGCGGTACTGCTGCCAACAGTTTCTGAAAATCGCTCGGCTGCTCCGTTTCTCTCACTAATGCTATATCTACTGCGTACACGTCAGCTCCAGCGGCGACAACCCGTTTCATCGTGATGGCGTTGACATGGACCGTTGAAGACTCGGGCGACTGCCAGCGAGGTAGCTCGACCCAGTTACCACTACTTCGCACGGTGCAGCTACCCGTCGTCCAGTCAATTCGCGGGTTATACCGTCGCAGCCAATCACGTCCCAGTAAAATATCGTGCCCATCCAGTGTCGTTGCGAGCATTTCCTGTGTAAATCCGAAATTTCCCCCGCAGCGGACTTTGACTCGCTCTACCTTTTCCCGTATGGCTAGTGGCGTGCCGTCGACTAAGCGTGCGTCTATCTCCGGTAAGCAACGGCTAAGTGTCAGCTGTAGTTTTCGTGCGGTTGCGGTATTAACTAGACTGTGGCTTGCTCCTCCGTCGATAAAAACCTTCACTGCTGCTCCCTGTATTTTCCCGTGGATCAGTACTGGGTAATCCGTCGCTGTACCCTCCTTATTCATCCGAGCCCGATCGATGGCGTGAATCGGTACTGTGACTCGGTGAGGGTCGGTGTGGTTGGGCGAGCAGGCAGTCTCGTCAGTAGTTGGCCCAACTTCTACTGACTGCTGGCGTTTCCCTGCCTCCGAGACTCCCCCCCCTGCTCTGCTCCGCGGCGCCTTAGCTCCTCTGGGCATTCGCTCTTGCGATGGCCTGGCCTGTTGCAAGCAAAGCAGCGCCCCTTAAACGGTGCGGAAGCTGCATTCGTTGCAACAGCGTTTACAGTGGTGTGCTTGATCGGTCCCCCAGGACGATGTCCGTAGTAGGACCCCGGTCTCGGTCGACGTAGAATGTCGATTTTCTCGGCGAGCGCGAGAATCTCGTTGAAGTTCGAGAGTCCGCGCAGCATGATTTCGTGCGAGATATCCGGCTTCAGCCCTCCGACGTAACGGTCCACCCGCTCTGCTTCGTGCATGTAGCCGACCTGCTCGCAAAGTGCGAGAAAACCGCTCGTGTAATCTTGAACCGACCCGAGCTGCCGCCAAGTGCGCAATCTCTGACGCGCTGAAATAGAAGTCGCGATCGGCTCGAAGCGCGCCCGAAGCCCTGCGCACCACGCATCCCACGTGCTGTATTGGGCGGTCTCGCAGAATGAACTCCAGGTGACAGCTGGACCCGTGGGCCCTTCCTCTTGCGACGGTGGCTCGTAGGCGCGTGGCGACGTCACGATGACTCGCCACCAGTCCATGGCGGGGCCCCTTAACAGCGAAACGGCATACCGAATCTTCGCTGCGTCCGACTCGACGTAATTCGCGTCGAAGAAGACGTTCATCGTGAAAACCCACGATTGAACCGTCGGACCTCCACGTTGGCTTGGGTCGAAGCAGGGCGGGCGTTGCGGCTTGAGTGGCATGGGTGCCATAATGGCCTGATCGCCACTTGTCGCCGCGAACTCCATGTGCCGACGGGCTTCACGAGGCTCCCGCGGGCTTGGTGCGACCCTGTTTCCTCCCATGCCAGGCATCGGCTGGGCGGCGCCATCACTGGCTGCGCCTGAGCGCTGTCCCACGCTGTCGTGTTGCGTTGGTGTGCCGGACGAAATGACGATCGGCTCGTCCGATTGTGCAGATGCATTTGTCGGTGCGTGTGATGGCGCTGGAATGTTCACCGTGGATTGCTGACGTGCGGAGTCACGTTCCGCCGTGAGCGTCGCAATTTCGAGCGCCGAATCTTCAAGTTGGCGCACCAGACGGTCAAGCTGCTCCTGCGTTAATGTGGCGAGCGTGAATTCGGCCATGGCGGGGGTGTCGGGCGAGCTCAGCGAGAGCCTCGGTCGTGGCCGTGCGTGCTTACGAGAGAGCACTACGAGCGGCGGTGCTGTGTCGCTGAGAGACGTCTACCCCCCCCAAAAAATTGAGATAGTGGGGAAGCGAAGGTGTGGGTGCGGTCCGAGAGGAGATTGTAGGCTCTGAATACCAAGTGTTACGAGTGCAATGGAGTGAACGAACGAGAATTGCACTATCGAAGCAAGAGTACAATGAGCGAAGGCATGAGCGAAGAATATATAGCGAAACTACAGTGGTAACGGTAATGGACTGTGGTTGTCGCGCGACGGGCCTGGGACTGAGGTTGGGAAAAGTGTCGAAGCGGAGGCCCGGAGCGCGGGTTACCCGCCGAGCCGTGAGGTCGGGGTGCGACGTGCGAAGGTGGCGGGCGGATTGTCGATGCGAGGATTGCGAGTGGTAACGGTGCTGACTGTGGTGCTATAGTGATGTATGCGTTGAGCAAGGACGCGAAGTAAGGAAAAAGAGATTTTCCTTACAAGAAGCAGATTATACTATCTTATAGATAGCGTGTTGAACCAAGTTCTATGTAGAATCATACGATAAAAACAATGAGTCTCTCTACAAGCGCTACAAGGACAATTGTCAAATTCAACTGTCGCGAGAAACGATTCAAGCGCTACATCGCATACGAACGAATATAGCTAGTGCAGTACATCTACGTAATGTACTAATACTGGTAACAGTACGTTTCTTTACATTTTGTGAAGGGGCACAAACCGTAACACAAACAACCCAAGCTGCCTGCCTTGTTGGAAATTCTCCCTTGTGGCAGGACTCCTTATTTGACTGCAGACTGGCTTCCTAGAGGGAGGAGTGGGTGTGACATGGTGGTGGGAGTGAGACGGTAGTGGGAGTGAGATGGTAGTGGGAGTGAGATGGTAGTGGGAGTGAGATGGTAGTGGGAGCAAGTTGGTAGTGGGAGTGAAATGGTAGTGGGAGTGAGATGGTAGTGGGAGTGAGATGGTAGTGGGAGTGAGATGGTGGTGGGAGAGTGGCGGAGAGTGAGATGAGATGGCGGTGAGAGTGAGATGGTGGGGGAAGAATGGGGTGGAGAATGGGGAGAGTTCTCTGCACGGCAGTACCTACCAACTGGTTGGACTGATGCTTGCACCCCGACATCAAGTTACGGTCCAAAGCGACCGTCAATCTCCACTTCCATGTGACTCAACAAACCCCTATGCCTCGGCAAGCGCACCATCAACACTACATTGCACCGCATCACAGAGCATTGAGCCCCTGCAGTCGTTATTTGAGACACGTGAAGCACCAAGCCCTGATTACTCTCTATTCGGCCCATGCATTAACGTACCATCTCCAAACCATCTTATTAAGATGCACGAGGTGAGATGCACGAGGTGAGATGCACGAAGCAAGAGGCACGAGGTGAGCAAAAGGTGGGGGTGAGGCCAATGCAAGCATGCTCCGCGTGCTCCTCCTGCTACAAATCTTTCTCTTGCACCTCCTGCCATAACTGCCTCTGCCAAAACGGTCCTGGCCCCTCCTGAGCATCCATCTGCTTGCTCCCTGCCCCTCCTGCCCCTCCCACCAATCCCCCCCCCTGCGCTACCTCTGCCAGCTCACTCTTCAGCAATCTGTGTGCCCCATTGAAGTGTGGGCGAGTTCGGTACACACACAGCTCTCACGCACCAACAGCCTCCTGCCCCTCCTGCCCATCCTGCCCGTCCTGCCCCTCCTGCCCATCCTGCCCGTCCTGCCCCTCCTGCCCATCCTGCCCGTCCTGTCCCTCCTTCACCTCCCACCATAACTCCCTTCCCTGCCGTGCCTCTACCAAAACACTCTTGAGCAGTGTGTCTAACATGGCCAACGGCACTCACACAACAGCACGGGCGGTTTAGTGTTTGGCAGGGAAGGAGGAGACGGGAGAATGATGAGGGGAATGGTGGGTGCGTTGAATAAGTAACCCGACGTAGGCATGCGCAGGGTACCGAACCGAACCAGTTGGTTTTTATGCCCTTTCAATCCAAACCGGTTGGCTACCAAACCGAACCTGTTCTGGGACGAACTGGTTTTGCATGGAGCTGGTTCGTGGTCCGTTAAATAGCCAACCGGTTTGCCTCAACCGGCCCAGTTCGGTTCACTTTTCCAGTGAACTTTCACTTGGTCCTACCAGCAGAGACGCAAAAAAGAACCATGGGAAACACACTAACGTTAGGTGGAAGGGGAATATTGTGAGACTGTGTGAGAGTTGAAGCTCGAAATGAGCTCAAACGCCCTGGATTTTGGGTTATACTCAAACCGGGACAACCTGTGTCATGCACACCCCTTGCGACGATTGTGCGAATTCTCAAGGAAATGGTGGATGCCTGCAGTAAGTAACCCCCCATTCCACAGTAAGTAACCCCTCTTGACATGCAGTCACCTTGGCCAGGCGGCGGTTGGAGAGAGGCAAGGGCGCAAGATTGGTGTGGACACTAACCCTTACACATGTACTTTCGGAACGTAAGAAACAGCCACCTCAATGTGTGCTATCTGTTAGCTAGCAGCAACACCCCACCCCGCCTTTACCTAGGGTCACCTCAGCCTGCACTCCCTTTACCAGGAACGATCCACAAGCATGGGGTTGCTGCACGCATGCGCTCCCCCCATTGCCCGCCTCAACGGGTGCTAGCTGACATGCACGCATCGCTGGGAGAGTTACCTGATAGGATTACCTTTTACACACCACATCCCACCACACTCAACACCTGCAGCCACCTTGGCCAGGCGGCACTGGGAGAAAGCCACAGCCACAGGAACATGCCCTCATGCATGCCCTCATGCATGCCCTCCCACCAGCCCTCACCTTACCGTGTGATAGCACCACACGGTCCACACCCCACCCCACCACATTCAACAGCTGCGCTCACCTTGGCCAGGCGGCGCCTGGAAAGAGCCATGAGAATGGGAATGCAGTGTGCACCCGCCACTTTCCCCTCCTCACATTGTCTGCCTCACCTTGGCCAGGCGGTGCCTGGTCTGGAGAGAGCCACCCACCACGGGAGTGCCGCGTGCCTTACCTTTCTGAAAACGCTCCCCCCTGTCTTGGCTGTCTACCTGCCCATGTGCTACGTGATAGAACCACACTTCACCACATTCAACACCTGCGCTCACCTTGGCGAGGCGTCGTCGGGAGAGGGCCACGACCACACTTGTGTCTCCCACCCATCACCACACTTGTCTCTCCCACCCATCACCACACTTGTCTCTCCCACCCATCACCACACTTGTCTCTCCCACCCATCACCACACTTGTCTCTCCCACCCATCACCACACTTGTCTATCCCACCCATCACCACACTTGTCTCTCCCACCCAGCACCACACTTGTCTCTCCCACCCAGCACCACACTTGTCTATCCCACCCATCACCACACTTGCATCTCCCACTTATCACCACACTTGTGTCTCCCACCCATCACCACACTTGTCTCTCCCACCCAGCACCACACTTGTCTATCCCACCCATCACCACTCTTGTCTCTCGCACCCATCACCACACTTGTCTCTCCCACCCATCACCATACTTGCCTCTCCCACCCAGCACCACGAACTTGTTTTTCTGAAATGCCGGCGCTCACCCGCCAGCGCGTTGAGTTGAGCTCGGGTGTGACCACCTGGTGGGCGTACCTACCTGGGGGATGGAAAGGGAAAGGGCAGGCAGGGGGAAGAGAGGGGGGCAGAGGGGGAAGGGGGTTGGACGAGCAACGGAATCGCAACAGCTCCGTCAGCAGTGCAGGTAACAGCGAGTTTAGCTCAGCGGGAAGAGGAAGGGGACGGTGGGGATGAAGGGAAGGAGGGGATGGAGGGAGCAGGGGCTAAGCGGATGGAGCGGACGGAGGGGACAGCGGGGACCAGCAGTGCACAGGTGGTGGGCTGCGGAGGCCTAATTTCAAAATGGTGGGCTGCGGAGCGCATTGAGCTCGGGGCTGACCACCTACTGGGTGTACCTGGGAAGGGGGAGGTAGGGAAACAGAAAGGGGAAAATGGAGGTAGGTGGGGCAAGAACGGGAGGGAAGAGTAGGATATGCAGCAGCAGCCCTGCCAGCAGCACGGCTACCCACCAGTGCGTTGACCTCGGGTGCTTGCCTCAGCACCAGTACATGTTGCTGCCTGAGCTTACCTTTGTTCTGCACACTGTGTGCTCTTTATTCTCAAAAGCTCCTCGCCCAGCCTCAGCGACTGCAAGCCTCCATGCCAATGTATGTGGTAGGCTGGGTGTTCCCTCTCACCAGGCTGCCTTCTTGCCCTCTCTTCTCCTCTCTTCTCCTCTCCTCTCTTCTCACCTCCCCTCCCTTCCTCCCTTCCCTTCTCTCCTCCCGTCCCTTCTCTCCTCCCCTCCCTTCTCTCCTCCCCTCCCTTCTCTCCTCCCCTCCCTTCTCTCCTCCCCTCCCTTCTCTCCTCCCCTCCCTTCTCTCCTCCCCTCCCTTCTCTCCTCCCCTCCCTTCTATCCTCCCCTCCCTTCTCTCCTTCCTTCCCTTCTCTCCTCCGCTCCCTTCTCTCCTCCCCTCCCTTCTCTCTTCCCGTCCCTCCACTCCTCCCTCCCTTCCTTCATCCCTTCCCTTCTCTCCTGTCCTCCCTTCACGCCTCCCTTCCCTTCTCTCTTCCCCTCCCTTCTTTCTTCCCGTCCCCCCACTCCTCCCTCCCTTCTCTTCTCCACTCACATCCCCTCTCTCTCCCTTTCCCGCGCTCTTCCCCCTTCCCTCTCTCCCGCCCTTCCCCACCCCTCTGCCTGTCCCTCTCCCCTCCTCCCCTCCCCCATCCTCCTCCGCCTCCTGCCCCACCTTCTCCCAACCCTCGTCTCGTTTCCGCCAAACCCAAGCCACGCGCGCTTGCGCCCTCACTTCCCCCTCCCCTTCCTGCGCCTTCCCTCCCCACTCCGCCTCCCCTTCCCCCTCCGTGCGGCCGTCCGTCGCTGCTGCCCCCACCTGCGGCGCTCCCCGTTCCAGTGGAAAACCGACATCCGCGGATTCTCGCGGTGGCGGCGGTACAGGCGCGCGCAGGGGGGATTGCGGTGGTAACGGTGACGGTGGCGCCGCCGGCGGGGGTGGCGGCGGCCGCTTCGCGCCGCCGCCGCCACTCCGGCCTGTGCTGCTCGCAACTGCTGCCGCCGCCGTCGCCGCCGCTGTCTCGGCCGCTTCCGCCGCTGGGAGTTTCGCCTGAGCGCGCGTGCTTGCCCCACCCGCCATGGCCGCTTCTCCTTGCGCCATCGCGAAACGGTTATTGTAGCTAAATCGTCATCTACTGCCGTTTTCCCGCCGTGACCGTCGCTCTCTCGTCGCGGTCCGTCGCGCTGTCTATCGCTCTGCCGCAGCAGCGTTTGCGCCAGTACCTGACTCTCCACATGCCATTCGACTGCCAACGTAGTCACTGTATCGCCACTGTAAGTTATGATGTCTCTCAACGAATGTCAGGCTTGCACCTCCTGTTTGCGCACCCGCCATTGCTGCAGCTCCTCGCGACTCTGATGTCACGGCTCTCCGCCGTCACGAATCGCCTCTTTTCGCTCTCATCGCCATGTCTGTCGCTTCGACGCGACTGTTATCTAGTTACTGCCCCTTGTTCTCTCGTCGCAGTGGGGCGTCAATGACGGCCCACTATTGCCTTCCCAGATCTCACGTCCTGATACTGAACGCAAGTGCTGTGTACTAAGAATCTAGCACGCGGCCTGTGCCAGCCAAATGTCTGCGAGACGCAATCTAGGTTCTGCAACAGATTGTAGAGCGCGAGGATTTACAAACTAGAAAACCACAACTGAATGCCCTACGAGTGTCTAAAACGAGGAATGTAAAGGCACACTGTAAGATCGCCTTCCTGGGGTGTCCGGACCTGAAGTGGGGACAGCGAAAAGTGCATTGCGCACGTGCACGGCATTGGGGTTTGTGATGAGGTGGCGGGGGGACGAATGTGGACGTCGCAGGTTGGGATGAGCGCCCCAACGTGCGATGGCTATGCGGTCGCAGAGGGGGATGGATTCGTGCAGTCTCAGTTGATTGGCCGATGGAATGTTGAGTCTCGAAACGGTCGCACACACAGGAGTTGGTGAGGTCGTAAGAGCATCTTTTGCGCTGCCACGCTGGAACCACTGCGGTGCACTTTTGGGGGCTGTCCTGTCCCAAGTTCGCAGGAAGGCGATCTAAGGAATTTTCTCGGCATTCCTTACGGAGCCCGACTACATCGCGCACAGCAACAGCCGTTGTTCGCCCGTTACTGCTAACGGGACTTCGCCAACTCCGCGCGCACTGTTTTGCCAAACCTTGCACTGCTGGCCCAGCCGTGTCGGCCTAAGCTTCGGGACTAGCCCGAGCCTCGCTGCCAGCGTAGCACTAGCTAGCTCGCACGCACCGCGTTACCGTTTGCATGTTCGCATATAAATGTTCGCTCATGCCTTCGCTCACATCTTTGTACTCGTTTGACACCTTAGTGCGATTCTCGCTACTTCGATTCATTGCACCCGTAACACTTGGTATTCAGAGCCCCTTTCTTTCGGACCGCGCATCTCCGCACCCCAGGAAATCAACTTTTGATTTTTCACTCGAAGGGACTCACGCACCTTAGCACCTAGGAGCCGCTGTCCTCGCGTTCTCTCGTAAACGCGTGCAGCCACGACTGCGCCTAGACTAAGACGAGCCGACACCCTTCGAAATGGCCGAGCACATTGATATCACGACGCTCACGCAGGAGCACTTGAACGATCTGCTGCGGCAAATCCGCGAGAGCGCCGAGGAAATCGCGACGCTGACGGCAGAACGCTCGTCCCTGCAAAATGACCTCACACGAGCACAACAGGCACAATCTCAAGCACCTGGCACTCCGAAACAGCCCGCACCACAGGCATCACAACACGGAAGCGTGGGGCAACCCGCGAGCGCGGCCAGTGATGGCGTCGTCCGCCCCGACGGAGATGACGACCACGGCACGACACACCCCGAAGCGACGAATGCGGCCCGAAGGCAGCCACGCGTCACAATTTCGGCACCAACCGACGGTTCGGCACTGCCGTCACCGATGCCGCTGAAGCCACAGCGTCCGCCATGTTTCGATCCCAGCCAACGGGGTGGTCCTACCGTTCAGGCGTGGTTGTTCACGATGAACGTGTTTTTCGACGCCAACTACGTCTCGGAGGATACGGCGAAAATCCGCTACGCCGTGTCGTTGCTGCGAGGACCCGCCATGGATTGGTGGCGCGTTATCGTCACGAAGCCGTTAGACTACGCGACTCTACCGACACGGGAAGGACAAACCGGACCCTGGGCGCTGTCGTATTTCGTGGAGGTGCCCCAGTATCGCACGTGGGACGCGTGGTGCGCAGGTCTGCGCGCTCGTTTCGAGCCAATCGCGGCTTCGATCGCGGCGCGACAGAAGCTCCGCACTTGGCGACAACTCGGTTCCGTCCAAGACTGCACGAGCGGATTTCTGGCGCTATGCGAGCAAGTGGGATATATGCACGAGAGCGAGCGCATCGACCGCTACATCGGCGGCCTGAAGCAGGACATCGCTCAGGAAATCCAGCTTCGCGGCGTCACCGACTTTCAAGAAATTCTCGCTATGGCGGAGAAACTTGATTTCTTCCGCCGACCGAGACCGGGGTCCTACAGAAGCAGCCATTGGGGACATCGGCCTCGTGGGACGAACGAGGGCGCCACGATACGTGCCGTCGCCGCAAACGCCGCTGCCGCACCGTTCAAAGGGCGCTGCGTTGCGTGCAATCGGCCGGGACATCGCAAGAGCGAATGCCCGGAAAACGCTAAGGGAAAGGAGGAAGCTGAGCAGCAGAAACAGACCAAGCAGCAGGGAAACGTTGGGAGTCAGTAGCAGACGGGCCCTCTACTGACAGGTCACGCCGCTCGCCCGACCCAACCGACCCTCACCGAGTGACTGTGCCGGTTCACGCAATCGACCACACCCGGACGAATAAAGAAGGGACTACGGTAGACAGCCCCATACTGCTTAGTGGGAAAATTGGGACGGACTTAGTAAAAATCTTAGTAGACGGGGGAGCCAGCCACATGTCAGAAACAAGAAGTGAATGAACTACACAACATTGCAGTACAAGTATGAAACCCTAAAGTTGTGTACCCCCTAAAGACTAACCCACTATAGCCTACACAGCAATAACACATATATAGTGTTTGACACACCCCCATAGGCAAAGTGGGGGAGAGCAAGGGGTCACAAGACCAGTTAAGAAAGGCAAACAAGCTCAGGGTGGATCACAACGTCACCACACACTCTGAGCACAAGCAAAGGGCCTCAGGGCCAGTTCACATGTAGAGGCATATATGCAACACAAACAGCAAGGTGATCTCAACCTAGCAAAGCAAACAGGCAGGTATATATATATAGAGATCACAGTACAGGCAAAGCCTACAGCAAGTGAGGAAAAGTGGGCACAAGCCCTAGCAAAGTGCAGAAACGCTGATGATCACCAGACTGAAGTGCCTTGGTGAATATATCAGCGGTGTTGGCCTGAGTGGCCACGTAACGCAGACGAAGCTGACCGCGCTGCTGCAGCTCTCGAGCCAGGAAGTAACGGAGAGCGATGTGCTTCGTTCTGTGCTCCAGTCTGTGCTCCGCACACAAGGCAATGGCAGCCTTGTTGTCGACGTACAGCACTGGAGGAGAACTAGGCCGCTCTCCCAAGTCGGTCAGCAGGTAGGTGAGCCAGCGTAACTCCTGTGCAGCCATGGCTGTGGCGTAGATCTCAGCCTCACAACTGGAGCTGAGAGCAGAAGACGAGCGAGTAGAACGCCAAAAAACCGAACCAGAGCCAAGGCTGAAGGTGTAACCCTGTGACGACCGCTGAGTAGCCTGGTCGTCAACCCAAGAAGCGTCTGAGTGCCCAGTGAGAACAACTGAGCTCCCTCCTCCAAGCACGAGCCCCATGCCCGATGTACTGCACAAGTAGCGCAATACCCTCTTTGCAGCATCCCAGTGCACCTTTCGGTGCCTGCCAGGAGCCACGTAGCGGGCCAGAAGGCCAAGAGGGTATGCTAGGTCAGGACGAGTGCAAGTCATCAGGTACATGAGGCAACCAACTAGCTCTGGGTAAGGACCACTCGGCTCTACGGACTCATCCGAAGGCAGAGCTGAGAGCGAGTGACCTATAGCCAGAGGAGTGGCCTGTGCTGAGGACCAGGTGAAGCCGAAGCGCTGAAGGACCTGCTGCACCATGTGTGACTGAGTCAGTGTGATGGTGCGGCGTGCTCTGTCCCGGGTGATCTGCAAGCCAAGGTAGCTGCGCAGTTCACCCAGGTCTGTGCACGTGTGTCTCTTCTGCAGCTCCAACTTCACGTGGGCGAGGGCATCAGTGTCAGCAGTGGCAAAGACCAAGTCGTCGACGTACACGAGGATGTAGAACGGCGGCAGCGAAGTGTCGGTGCGCAGAAACAGCGACGGGTCAGCAGTAGAGGGCGCGAACCCAAGTGCCGCAAGAGTAGTCCTCAGTGTGTCGTGCCACTCACGTGGCGCCTGGCGGAGACCGTAGACTGGCCGCCGGAGGCTCCACTGGGTACCAGGAGGAAACGACCCAGTGAAGCCAGGTGGGCGGCGCAGCCAGATCTCCTCGTGCAGGCTGCCCTGCAAGAAAGCTGTGCTGAAGTCAAGAGAGTGAAGCTCGTAGTCACGCTGAGCAGCAACGTGCAGTAGCACCCGAAGAGTGGTCATCTTCGGGGTGGGGGAGAAGGTCTGAAAGAAGTCTACTCCCTCTCGCTGACTGAAGCCTCGAGCAACGTAACGAGCCTTGAAGACAGGCGGAGAAGCCGGCGGCCGCTTCACCCTGAAAATCTACATGCCACTGACGATGTTCGCCCCAGGAGGGGACCTCGTCAACGTAAGTGCCAGTGGACTTCCAGGATGCCATCTCTGCATCCATGGCTGACTGCCACTGAGAGGAGTACTCACCCGCGATCGCCTCAGCGTAAGAGCGCGGGGTCGGGATGTCTGGAGCATCCGGGTCTCCCTTAGGGGCAATCAGAATGGACACGAGATGAGGCGCAGCGGCTGCAAGACACTCAAGGTC